GACAGAATCTGGGACGGAGTCAACCAGGGGAGTGGCTGCTGCAGATTATCTGGAGTTGAGTAGCATTTCCCATGGAAATGGAGCCTCGTCATTCAGCGTATTGGTCACTTTTCCCAAGGAAGATGACCCCCTGTTGCTAGGGGTCAGCTCTACCTTGGCCCATGTCTTATCATGACCAGCTGTGACTCCTGCTGGTCACTATCTTTGGCAGTTTGTAGCTCAAGCAGTAGCAGAAGCTGGAGGAGGAAGAGCAAAGCTGTGCAGGCTGTTGCATTCTGTTAAATCACAGAAATGAGATCTAAGAGACTTCTGTGACATCTCTGCTCTGGCCTGCTGGACTGGAAGGGCTCCCTGCTCTGAATGACTCTTCAATTATGTTTCATTGCAGCGGTCAGCTGTTAACCTGCTTAGGGACTGACTTTCACCATGGAGCTGGAGTGCTCGATGTCTTCTACGAAACTCCCTCCCTTCTCCTCTCATGTGGGTATGACACTTACATCCGCTACTGGGACATACGGACCAGCACCAGGTGAGCCTATCCTGCTGGCATCTGGGGCCTGTGCAAGGATCCTCTGGGCTCTTCTTGTGCAGTGCCTGGGGACGTGCCTGCGGCTCGGTTAGCTGCTTCAGGCAAATGGGACCTCAGTTCCAGTCCAGGCACTGGGTGGTGGAGGCTCAGCCACTCTGTTTTGTGTTGTCACTGCAGAAAATGTGTCCGGGAGTGGGAAGAGCCCCATGACAGCGCCTTGTACTGCATAAGGACTGATGGGAACCATATGATTGCAAGCGGCTCTTCCTACTACGGAGTGGTGCGCCTCTGGGATAAGCGGCAGACTCAGTGCCTGCAGGTGAGGGCTGGTTGGAGGCCAGGCAGCAGCAGGGCTTCTGGCTCATTCTGTGGCAGCCAGGTACTCGTGTCTCTTTGAAAGAAGAGACAGAGGCTGTCGAGCTGTCTTCGGACTGAGTGGGCCTCGCCTTTATTCCTGCTTTGCCAGGGCATCCGACCATTTGGGCCTGAAAAACCTGTTGGGGTCTGTGGGCTGACCTCTTCTTTGAAAAGCTGACTCTCCTGTTTTCTTGCAGAGTTTTCACCTGTCTTCACCCACCAGCAGCCCAGTGTACTGCCTCCGTTTCAGTACCACCCATCTGTATGCTGCCCTGGCATCAGCCTTGCACGTCCTTGACTTCACGGCCTCGTGAAGGGCACCGTAACCGCTTCTGGTTGCCCCAACTCAGCAACGTTGACACTTGGTTCAGGGAAAAGCAGGGCAGGAGAGGTGAGAGAGGCCCCAAGGCATCTGTAGATTCTTTACTTGCCAAAAGGCTATGTTAAAGAGTCCAGAAGGGGCAAGGCTTAACAACTTCATCTGCTCTTTAGTGGAAATAAAGGCCAATTGTCCTTTCCTTTTTTCATTTTGTGCAAGTCAGGGTCTGTAATATTATCTGTTCTTCTTGTTTTTTGTTTTGTTTTGTTTTGTTTTTTTGGTTTTTTTTTGTTTCTTTTTTTTTTTTTAACTCTCCTGTGGATACCTTTGAGGGGCAGGTTGAGCCAGAATGCCCTATCAGCTTCGATGCTGGTCAGGTTGAGATCAGCCAAACTGAGCCGTGTGAAGCAAGTCTGTGTGTGGGGTACACTGATTTGGCGGAAGGGAGGGTGCCTGGAGCAGGGACTCCTTTTCACCTGTGCTTGCTCTCTTGACAGCTGCTTGTGCTGTTCTTTTCAGCCAAGAGAAAGAATTGAGCTAAAAGGCAGAGCCAGCCCTGCTTTCAGTGTATGCCTCCCCTAGCTGGCCATCAGGTCGGGCAGTGCACTTGGCAGGGCTGAAACAGTTGTATTTTGCTAAATAAAACTCTGAAGGGAAACAGAAGAGATTGTTTGTTTTGTTTCAAGTCCCAAAGGAGCTGTGATGTTATCTGCTGGTTGTAGAGGAGACTGGCCCTGTTTTCAAATGAACTGTATGTCTGGAGGATCTCTCTCTGGGTAGATGCTGTGGCACTTCTGTGTTGAAGGCAGTTGCTGGGATCTTGGCTCTCATAGCACTTATTCAAACAAGAAACAAAAGCAAGATCTGTAACTTACTTGCTACCTGCATACAAGCAGCAAACTGGGCTAGTGCAAACTCCAAGGCCTTGCTGTGACTTATTGGGATTCTGTAGGAACATCTAAGAGAGCTTAACTTTTGCAATGGCCTTCTGAACCTGACCAGGACTGAATCTCCCAGCTGTAGCTTTCATGTATTCTGTGCTTTCTGAATGGTTGTGGATGCCTGTGGATGAGTGCAGCATTGTCTGGTCCTCCTCAGAAAAGGAGGTGCATTAACACTATTAGGCTGTGAGTTTGGGTATGCTGGATAGGTAAAGGAGCGTTTTTGTATCACAAGCTGGCAGCACCTTTAGGGCAAAGCAGCCAGGATGGTGCTTTGTTGGGACTTGAAAGACAATTTCTGCCTTCAAGAGGCTGCTTTTCTCTTGTGATCCACAGTGATTGGAAGATGTACACTGGAGCCTCTGTTGGAGCAAGAAGAGAGTGGAATCAGGTTCTCACCTGCTTTAAGAAAGCCCTCCACTCCCAGTGGATGTGAGACAGCAACTCAGGGTGCAAAGTAATTGGCTTTGCTGCAGGATCATATTCTCACACAGCTCTTTCCAACACAGCTTCCTGTCACAGTTTGTGATCCAGCTCTGCTGACAATTATGCCAACTTACTGCCAGCTTCCGTGTAGCTACTGTGGTGCTACATGTTCTCCTGGAGTCTAAGTGGCAAAATAGATATCTAAGTGCCCCAGGCACTGATCTACTGCTGTAAAAAGATGTCACTACTGGAACAATCTTCCATCTATGCAGATCTGTAAATCCCAAAGACAGCTGGTCCAGGTTAATGATTCTGGAGGAGACCTCTGGGCTATAGGTAACATGGAGCTATTGTCCGAAAGATGGAGCTTTGTGTCAGGGGCTGCTAAATACTGTTGCTGTATTGCTTGGAGCACTTCATGCTCTGCATGTGAGAAGAGGCTTTAGGTACATGATTAGGCATGAGACACAAGACCAGAGAGATGGCAGAACTTGGAAATGGGAAGGAAGGTCTGTGTTTTCTCAGATCCTTCAGTGTTCCAAGTCTTTTAATGAAATAGCAAATGGGGGGGAAGAGATGGAGATATTAAATATCTCTGACACAGTCCCCAGAGAGAGGCTCTGAAGGATTGGGGTTAATATTGGGTGGGAGGAGAGGTACTTTATTGCACTGGGACTTGGGCAGGGCTCAGAGTAGGAATGAGCATGTCAGCAGATTATGTGAACAGTGTCCCTGGTGCATCTTGTAGCAGACGCACCTGCAACATCGCTGCTGCCAGTCCTGCCATTCCCCTTCTGTAGCCCCTGTTGGTGGATCCTGCACTTTTCTGTTTGGTCTTAGGTTCCTTCTGGTTGAAACCTAGAGCAAAGCTACAACTCCATGGTGGTGCCAGCACTGGCTGGTTGAAGGATGCACCCTCCCACCTCAAGTGACATTAAGGAATGGGAAAACCAGAAGTGGGGCTTGGCACACTGCCTCTGCTGACCTCTGCCTGTCGACAGTGCCTTGGGAAGACTTGGGTGCAGATGGGAGCTAAAGTTAGGCAGCAGGGAGGGAATAACTGAGGATGTCAGCAAGGCTCTGAGGAGTTTTTGTGATTTGAAAGCAGTGCTATGCTGGGAGCCCATAGCATGCTCACTTGGATTTGTTGTGGGCAGAAGCTTTTCAAATATGAGCTGGGGATGAAAGGACATGCAGAAGTCTAAGCACAGGGAAGGCTGGTGCAATGAGGACAGTAGCCAGCTGCAGGGTGAGTTGTAAAACCAGCATTGATGGAGTTGTCTCCGTGCACAGGGTGCTGTCTTTACAGTGAGGCTTGCACTGGGGCAGGTTGGGGCCCACTCCTGCAAAGGATGTGGTTTAGCTACCCTTGAGTTGGCCAGTGGCTCCTGTCACCACATTCACCTCCATGTCATGCAAATGAAGGCAGCTGCATCTGAGTTCCTTCACTCTGCACAACAGCCCTGCATCCTGCACGTCACGTTGCACATGGCTGGTCATAAGGAAGCAGCTCTTCACCTGTTTCATATGCTGTGCTTGCTCAAGCCTAAGCACTGGAGCTGTTGGCAGAGAAACCAGAGTCACCAGAACATTGTCTTAACAGCGTGGAGGACCCTGTGCAACAGCACAAGAGGGAGCTGCTTCCAGGCACATTCCAGGCAGGTAACAAGTGTGAGGAAAGCGTTCTTTTTCTCCTCCTGGGGAACTACCCAGCTTTCATGTTGCTTCTCCCACTGCAGGATGAGGAAAGGGCAGCTGACTGCAGCTGTGACGTGCTTTTTTTGCTTGCTGCAGCTTCCCACAACTAATAGAAGGATTATAAATGTCTGTGTAAATGAGGCAAAAAACAGACTGCCTTGCAGTTTCCCTGGGCCTGCAAAAATCCCTCTGAACAGCTCTATTAACAACACAACTTGTATTTATTTTGCCTTTTCTAATAAAAACCATGAGGCTGTGACAGAGCTGTCCCCGATACCTCAGCCTCTTAGCAGCCACAGCCTATTGGGTCTTGCAGTCACCATCCCCACTGTTTGCTGCCTTTATCTTCTTCAGCTCCTTCTGCAACTCTTCTTCTGCAGCCAGGATCTCCTTTGGCTTCTGGTACTGTGGAACAGAGAAATGCCCATAGCACTCTTGTTCAGCCTCTGCTCCAAGCAAACTAACTGGAGCGAGGCTGTAAGCAGCAGGGTCTCCATTAGCACAGCTCTTGCTGGGTGTAAACTACACAGCTGGGCCCTCTTGACAAGGGAGGTCTTTCCATTATCAGCTACCTCTAACGTGGGCTTGGAGAGGTGGTGCCCTCCTGGTAGGGACATCTGCCAAGATCTGGAGTGTCAGTTAGAGTGCAAGTAAAACTTCCTAATTGCATGTGGAGTCTTGGCCTCCACCAGCACCTCTGGAATATCCTGGCAAGCTGTGTTGTGTATATCCCTGGTGTGCTCACTGGTCATATGCTCACACGTGTTTTATATATATAATCTCCATTTTTTTTTAAAGGCAAGAGAAATAGGAGTTGCAGTTCCTCTGACCTCCCCTCAGAGCCCTCTTGCTCAGCTGCAGTTTAGTGGTGGCTGCAGGTGCTTTTTGGCAAGGGTTGGGTGTATAGCAAACAGAAGCTCAGAAGCACTCAGGATGCGCCTCCTGGCCTGTTTCCCCTGCACACCCACCCCCAGCTCTGCTGTGAGGTTTCCCTCAGAGAGGATGCGCTCTTGGTAGCTGGCTTCCATGTTTAAGGTGAGCACATGCTGCTCAGAAGCATGTCTGCCTCTGGATGCTCTTTGCAGCAGGTAAGTGCTCATTTTGTTAGACTCTTAACTTCCACCATGTGTCCCTTCTCTGGCACAAAGCAGCAGGTGACTTTTTTAAGGCTGAGAGACCTCCAAGTGCAGCAGGACCTTGGAGTCTTTAACACTCATGCACATAGCATGAAAGTATGATCTGAGCCAAGACAAACTTTTTGTTGCTGAGAGAGGAGGCTTGCTCAGGCCAGTGGGAGGGGGGAGTACATGGAAAATAGGGCACTATTATAATAGACCCTATTCCACTTGCAAGTCACCTTGATGAGCAAGCTGGGCCCCTCTGGTGGCCTGGGCTGTCCTGGCCAGTGTCAGCATGTCCAGCGTAATCTAAAAACACCAGTGACTGTGACAGAGAAGGAGATCAGCAGTGACCCACAGCATATCTCCCTGCTCTGCCTTGCTTCTCCACATGTAAGAATTTTAACTTCTTTTTGGACATAAAGGGAAAAGCAAAGTGGTATTCTGTGTGGCTAAAACCTCACCGTGATGATCAGAGTGTTGTTAGCATGGGTGAAGCTCAGGGCAGCTGCATCTAGGGGGAGCTGGTATCGGTCCAGGTCAGGAATAGGAAACTTCTTGTAGTACCTACAATGCAATAAGACAGAAATGAGAAGGATGGAGTTCCTATTCTCCTTGTTTTTCTGCAAGGTGTACTCTTGCATCTCCACTGTGCCTGCCTTTTTTCATGAACAAGGGTCTGCAGGGAGCAGGGTCTCAACAGGGTAAATGCAGGGAGGAATGGACCTGTCAGGGTTGGCAGGAGAAACCTGTGCCATGCTGTGTGCCTGCTGGTGCTCCCAGGCTGGTGGGAGCACTGGAAACAAACCTCTAAACTGGGTATTGGAGCTGGAAAGCTCTGAAGAGCTTTGGTATATGGGAGCAGGCTTGGTCCCTCCAGGTTGCCCTCAAGAAGTGCCAGGCATAATCAGGGATAGAGCGCTCAGCCTTGCTGAGGGATGTTCCTTATCTTTGTGCCTGCTCATTTCCTTTTATTCCCTTTAAGTTACCTGTCAAAGTTCTTGTGCCTTTTACTTTCCTGAGAACTGCAAGGTTTTATTTTGTCTCCCACTTGCTCATATCCTGCTTTGGTGATGTTGTGGCTCTCAGGCATTGCCCTGGGCACAGAGCTCCAAGCATAGATGCCAACAGCCACCTAAGCCTCTACTCTGCAGCATCTCCATGCAGCCCCCATGCTGGCTGTGCTGCTGTTCTGCGCTCCCAGCAACACTGCCCTGATTTCTATCCCAGTTTCCCAGTCTCGCATCCAAGGAGGGGATAGAAAGGTTTCTGCCAGCTCCCTAACCATCTTGTCTCTCCATTGACCACATTTGGGCTCTGCTCAGTATGAAGGGGATATGTTGCTGATAGAAATTGAGGGGTTATAAGCTGTCAATGCTTCCGAGAGATTTCCTGCTTTGGGGACTAAAACCTTGTGGATCTTCATTCTGCACTTGGCCAAGATCCTTCTCCATTGGCATGGCTTGCCCTGCATCTGCTGCTTCCATGTAGGATTGCAGTTGTTGGTCCTGTGTCCAACTGGAGGCATGGTTGGCTTTTTAGTCTCTGCCAGCAGTTTCATGGGGAATTCTCTCAAAGAACTGGCAGTCCTCTCCAAGGAATTGACTGATAGTACTGAGGTGCCCAGAGATGAACATGAACAGGCAGCAGTTGCTGTCATGCCATGAGGGGTTCTTCTCCATTCATCTGGTTGTGTATGAGGTTTGGCCTCCCTGGCTACCCTGCCCAAATTGCAGTTTATTTTCCAAGTCACGGTGAAAACAGCTACAAAGGGCAAATGGCCCTCCTGGTGCAGTGGGAGGAATGTACGCAGCTTGTTACCGCAGGGCTCAAACCGTTCTGTGTTGTCACTGCTGTCGGTATTTGGAAAAGGTGGCAGACATGGATAATAAGGGAGATGTCAAAGGTTAAACAGCAGAGATTAGATGAACACAAAGACATGTTAAGGAAGTGTTAACTTCTTACCGATTAGACCAAAAAAAAAAAAAAAAAAAACCCAAAAAACCCGAAGGAAAAAAAGCAGTACACAGAAAAAAAACACTGTTTCAAAAGGCCTTGGGAGTTATCAATGAAACAGCAGCATTCTGCTGCCCCAGGACTAAGGAGAAGGGAAGAAGAATGGCTTTGGCTGGCCTCAAACTAAAATCTGTGACAAGATCAAAGGAAACCAGATCTGCCTGGCCACCCCCTCCTCCTCCTAACATTACCACTGCCTCTTGCTACAATAATTGAATCAGGTTTGGCGTTTGGGGAGAAGGCTTTCTGGGTTTGTTTTTAGAGTTTAGTTTAATGGATTTATTTTACAGCAAGAGGTTTTAAGCAAATCCCACTTGAGCAGCCCTTGCCGTGGCCAGAGGGAATGGGAGTGACTGGTGGATGTGAAGAGCTCCGTCTGGGCTGGGAAGGTAGCTGATGGGAGGTAATTTCTGCTGAAGCAGGGAGATTCTCTGCCCTCGTCTCTCACCCCATGGCCAAGGGCAGTATTGCACTCTGAGCCTCGGTCCTGGCATGAGAGCCACAGTGCGTATGTGAAGTCACCTCTATTTTTTTCCCTACTGGAAATCCACTTTTTGTCAGCCTGTAGGGAAAACTGCTACTGGTATGCTGAGAATTTATTGCTGAGCTACTCAGTAGTGACTTGGCAACCCATCCTGATGCTTGTGCCTCTGGCTGGCGGTCAGCGCAGCTCTGCTGCTCAGAGGCAGCGTGGCTGACTTCCAAGGGTTGGAGAGGCTCTGAGGTTTCCTTTCTCTCCCATAGTGATGCACGCTCTCGCTGTGGCCGCCCCATGCCTTTGTTGCTATCTTGGAATTAGTTGCTGAGTGGTGCCTTGCCCTGGCCAAGACCCAGGAGAAATGATATAAGATATCCTGGAGCCTGTACAAGTACTCCAGTGCTGGAGTCTGTCCCTGCTCCCCACTGAGGTGACTTTCAGCTTTAATTCCCAAAGCCCTTAACTTTCATCTGCAGGCCACAAGCAGCTTTCATGTCCTTCAGCTATCTCTGACACTAGTCTGTGAACATGCAGCTGCCATATGATTGTAGGACAACTCTATGTTATCCTGAGAATGGTACAAAAAACCTCAAAGTCAGGTAGGACACAGGTGAAACCTTAGTGTACGTTATAACCTAACAGCAGGCAAAGAGGTTCCCACATGCACACTGCTATTAGTAGGATGGGAAGTAAATAAGCTGGGGGTTGGACTTAGACTCAAACAGTACTGCTTTCCACGGGTACCCACTTGTACCTGGTGAGAATCTCACTCATCTTTGCTACGCAGGTTCCCCCATTCTTTTATTGCAAATCCTTCTCTGTGGATTCAGGACAGAAACCTACTGTATTAGAGCTGAATCTGCTTTCATAGAGCAGACCTCCCCTTCCTACTGTCAGCTTCCTCCTGCTTTTGAGCATCCAGGTGTGCCTGTGTACAGAGCTCAAACTTCCCCTTGCCATGGTCTCTGATGTGGTAAAACACTGCCTGAAAACTGTGGGTTCTGCTGTCCTGGAAGCTGTTCAGTTCCCAAGGCAGAGCGAGCTCCTTGCCAACAGCACCACCTACAGCCAGCAGCAAGGAGCGTTGAAAGAGGGCAGGGTGCAGGCCGAAAAGCAACGCTGCGGTTTTTACCCACGAACCTCATCCTCCCGGGTTCTGCAGCAGTGCTGGGGAGGAAAGGCAACCAAAGGACAGGCTGCCCAGCTTTTTGTACTGATGTATTTATCCCAGTCTGTAAATAGCTTTCACTGCCTGTCCAATATTCTCTCTTGTTTTCCTAACACTCCCTCCTTGCTATCTCTCCCCAACACTACTGCTCATCCTGGCCTATTCCACTGAGGCAGTTAAGGCTTTGGGGCACAGTGCATCTCATTCTGTAAGAGTAGACAGGTAATGACAAAGGTTAAACGATGCTTAAGAGGCTTTTTTTCCCCTCCCTTCTTAGTTTTCTTTTGGCAGAATATTGTGGTGCTTGCCTTTCTTAGATTGCCTGTATTTTTTCTTGCTACCTCCAGAACAAAAACTATCATTGTCATTTGACTACAGAGTAAGTTTTCAAAGGTGAAATCTGTCTGAGTGCTCAGAGCTTACACTGTGCTTACTGAATTCTGCAGGTCCATGCATTCTGAGATACAATGACTAAATCAAAGTACTGTGTCTCAGGAAGAGGATGGGAAGCTCTAGTTTCAACAGGTCTGCAAAGGTATTATTTCCTTTCTCTTTGGGAATGATATTTGACAGGAACAGAACAGACTAACCACCTTGGTACTGAACTGTGAGATAAGTTTGCAAAGTCCACTTGTTGAGCCTGAGGGGCTTTTTGCTCAGTTTGAGGTGGCTGGATGTGGAAAACTGCAGTTGGCACATCTCTTTCTGCCTAATGTATGGCTCCTCGAACCAAGAGAGGACATCACCCCTCTGCCAACACCACCCTGCCCTCGGTGCCAGCCCACCCCGAGGGACTTTCAGCACTGGCAGTGCTGTTCTTACTGACTTCTTGTTTGTGGTCCGGATGACACAGCAGCGCTGCTCCTTCTCCACAGAGACACTGTAGACCTCCTTGGGGTAGGGCAGGTTACGGATCCGCCACTGGAAGCTGGTCAGGGTGTCCTTCCTCATGAAAACAGGCTGCAGCAAACAAGTATCTTTAGCAAGGCCCCTCCAGCTGTCTCCTCTCTCTTCCTTGCACCCTTTCGCTTTTACTACCCCAAGAGGCTCTGTATGGGACTATTTCTTCTTTCCCACTGGATTGTTAGGGAACAACTCAAGAAACTGCCAGAGCACCTGTTTTGAAGGGCTAGACTTACTGCTAGCCTGCTCTGCTCTGCTTGTAGGCAGAAGCTAGAAGCAGAAGCTGAAGGCATTTACCAAGGGAGTCCCGCAGCAGTGTTACAGTGAAACTGGGCCTCTGCCCCAGTCTGCTGCACAGAGCTGCTCTTGTGTTTCAGGTCTATAGAAAAGAAAATGAGAGACTAAAACCTCTGCTTCCTACACCGGTGGGACAGGAGGTTAAAACAGGCAGTGCTGTGTTGAGGAGCAGCTCGTTACATACTGCCTCTGCTGGCCGTCCCCATTATCACCTCACTTTCTATCCACTGATTTGTCCTGACTCTTCCTTTCAGCCTACCTTTTTGGAAGCTAGCACAATAGCTGGCTACCACAGCAATGCAGTTTTTCTATTTATATGAACCACAAATCTCCTGAAGACCTCAGAAGAACCTAAAACATGCCCTCTTTCTCCTCAGACCTTTGGGATGCTTTGGAGTAGAGCGCTGGGCAGGTTAAGGCTGTCTCTTGGGGCAGTGAGTGATCTACAGACTACAGATTACTGCTGTAAGCACAAGGCTAGGTAGACAGTTTTAGGTGCAGTGGTGCCTGCAGACTCTTACATACATTAGAACTGCTTTCCTTTATGAGCTCTGATTCCAGTGGTCCCAGGAGAGGTGAAGTTGGGTCTCCCACTTCAACCTGCCACTTGCCAGTGCCCCCGAGGGTGTTCTTCTCTCGCCACCTTCTACCTGTAGAAGGGAGAAGAGATTTTGTTATTCTGTTTTATATGAAGAACTCCAGCAAATTACCACCAAAGCTGCGCAGCACCTTAAACTGAAATGATAATAAGCCTCTTTCCTTAATTTCAATTATTTCCACTTCGGTATAAGTGGATCAGTTAGCTGGACTACTCCCAAATCCAAGAATTGTGCACTAACTGCCTCTTTTTTGCTATTTGATATTGAAGCCATAGTAGGTTCACAACAGATGCTATGCCGCAATTGTGGTTTTGGATAAGATCTGTAACCAACACCTTGTCTGTCTGTGGCCACAAAAGCCACCAAAAAGCATGTTTCACCCCAGCACGTGCCGCAGCCCCTGTCTGGCTGTGTGAGCTGGCAATCCCGTTCAGTGCAATTATGTCTGCTATGAGTGACGAGCAGTTTGGGAGTGAAGCAAGGTTTGCTCGAGGAAGTGAGAAAACTCTGGGTCTAATCAACCACAGTTACGTCCCTTCAGAAGGGAGTGGGAGCTCCAGGAACAATTCTTTCTGGAATATTTAGGAGCACTTCCTTCCTGCCCAGACAGTGCCTTCCACCACTCCAGCCCTGCAAATACTGACCTACCACTCCACTTACTCACTAACTGGCCGGTCTTCATGTTGTACTCTTCAGCCATCTCCTTCCCATCCTCAAACTGGTAGTGGATCTTCCGCTTCCCTAGAAGTAAGGCAGGGCTGAGAGTCAATAGGAATAGGCTTACTCCTGGGAGTAGGGCCCCGTCCCCTCGCCTGGGACCGTACCCCCTCTCCCGGGACCTCGTCTCCTTCTGCGAGGGCAGCAGCGCAGGGCCGCGTCCCTACTGTTTGCAGACCCGTTTCCTCCCTTAGGACCCAGGCCGCGCTCTCTTCCCGCAGGGCCGCCCGAAAACGCCCCGGCTGGGAATAAAGGAGAAGGCAGGGCCCCATCCCGGCTCGCCGCTTCGGTTACCGTCCTGCACCAGCGCGGTCTTGCTGGCGGCCCGCAGCCTCTCCAGCCAGCTCGGTACCGCCATGGCGGCCGGGGCCCGTCGCCACGGCAACGCGACCACTTCCGTCGCCGACCGGAAGTGCTTTCGGCCTCTGCCGGCGACCCGTAGGTGAGCGCGGCCTACCGCGGCGCCTGGGCCCGATGCCGGGCTCAGGTCCCGTCCCTTCCCTTCTCCTCCCCTCTCCTCCCCTCCCCTCCCCTCCCTGCGTGCCGGGGCCTTCTGTCAGCCCTCGGGGACCTCAGGGGATCGCTTCCACCCCCGGAGCTCGGTTCCCCAACAATAACAAACCAACAAAGTCTATGAGCAAAAGGTGCAAAGCTTAAGTTGTTCTGATTGCACGCGGCTCTTCTCAGCAACTTTCTCCTTTCTTAGCGCTGTTCAGCAGCTGCAGCCTCGCAGCCTCACTGCTCCCCAGGGGAGCGAGGCGCAGCCCAGCCTATGGAACCGCAAGGGATTGTCAAAGCCTTTCCCAAGAGGAAGAAGGTGAGGGATGACTCAGGGAAAAGCGTCCCTCCAAAGATCCCGAAAGAAGGAACGGAGGAGCCCGAGGGTAAGTCCCTGTGCTCGTGGTGTGGGATGTACCAGCCAGCTTGCTGGCTGAAGGTTCTGTGCCCCAAAAGGCTTCTTCTGGCCCCCGAGCGCATTTTCTGTAGAGGTATGGCTGGCTTGCTTCAGTGTGTCCAGCCGTGGTCTGAGATATGTAGCCCATTTGCTTCAGGATGCTGTTTCTCTGTCACTGATCTCCTGTCCTTGTGCTTTTCCTCAGCGGAGTGGCTGAAACCAGTTGCTGCCTACGTATTGCAAGCTGGCATTGGCCAAGCTAGGGCAGAGATCTTCCACAAGCAGATTGTCCAGAATGGGGGATTTGTACACAGCCGTCTCTGCTCGGAGGTGACACACGTCATTGTAGCTGAAGATATGGACTGTGATCGGGCCTTCCGGCTCCTCAAATTAGCCAAGCTGCCTTCGAGGTTGCAGCTGGTGAAGGCATCCTGGCTCAGTGATTGCATTAGAGATCAGAAGCTGCTGAATACCGCTGGCTACAGTGTCTTTATCCCTCGGAGGTAGGCAAATACCATGCTGTTTTTACTCCATGTAGTGCCTCAATCCTAAATTGAATTGCACTAAAATTTGACCTCTGCTCACAATCTCAGACTACATCTCTTCACGGCTCCCTTGGGCATGGCTCACAATCCTTTTTTGCCATACAGATAGTGAAATTTAGTGATTCTGTGACTGGTTGCCATTCTATGTGGTAGCAGAACTTGGAGTAGAGCCCAGAGTGCTAGTAGGAGTCTTGTTGCTTACTGCTGGTGATAAAGGCTCTTCTTAATCTATCAGTGATAGAAAGATTTTCTTATTTTTTTTAGAAATACTGGGGGTTAATTACTGTTTCTTACTGCAGATGAAGAGCAGAGAATTGACAACTAGGCACAAGAAGAAATAAGGAGTGGAACAGCAGCAACCACATTTTAGGGTCAAAGTGTTTTGATGGAAGTGTAGAAGTGTTTTAAGACTGAGGTAGATTGGAGTGGAAGTTGCAGTTCAGTGGAATGGATTGAAACTGGGGGGATTGAGCCAAAGCCAGAATAATCTGGGAGTAAAATTCACATTGTTTGTTTCATTCCAAAATATGTGTAAAGGTTTTTTGGACAAACTTCTTGGAGCTCGTAAGTACTCCTCTGCTAAGGTGTCTGATCCATGGCAGGTACCGGGAAGAGGGAGAACAGCAGCAGCAGTTCCTGGGCAGTGAAGGAATCCAGTCCTCAACAGAGGAGAGTGCAGCAGAACCAAATGTTAAAGCACAGGTGGGGGATTCCTCACAGCAAAACCTGGGCAGCCTTGCACAGCAGCAACCATCTGAGGTGAGGCTTCCCATACAGGCTCTGCTTCCTGCGGACAGGTCCTGTGTACTACTTTTGGTAAGAGCCTTTCTGCAGGGCTATCATTTTCTGAGCAAAGGGATGTTTTGGGTTATTTCAGTGGGTTGATGTTGACAGGCTTGGACTGTAGATGTGGCTACTGCTTCTCTTTATCTCTTCAGATGTTTTAAGTAGAAAAAGCACCCCTTAAATTCCCATCCCTATCAGAATATTTCTAGCTGAAGCAGTCCAGGTGCTCCTATCAGGCCAAGGCTCGCTCCAGTGTTTCCCCTGCCTCTTTTTGAGCAGTATCCCCTGGCTGAGAATATCTCCCTTCAGGAAGCACTGATATTTCATCTCATGTTCCTGCCTGAGCCACACTGACACATTCTCTGCTCCTTGGCAAGAATTCTGTTCAGACACATGTGCAGTGGATCAGATTGCTACTAGAATGATTGTGATGTTGTGCTTAAAATATCTGTGTTGGGGTGTTGGTGGCCTGTGCTGTGAGTCAGCTTCTCCAGGTCTGCCATCAGCTTTGTTGTCTTTTCCTGTTTTTCTGTCCAAGTTTGCTGAACTCTTTTCTGTGTTGGCATTATCCAGATCTATCTGCAGCAAAGTCACCCGGACCTCTTAGAACATCAGCTACCTTGTAATGCTGGTAGCTGGTGCTGTGTTTGCTGACTTGGCCCCAGATCATAGGTGCTGAATTTGTTTTACAAAGCACTACAATTACTTTCTAGTTGGCATCCCACCAGGGTCACCTTTATTTTAGGCTTTCCTTTTTCATGAACACGTGCCTGGGGGATCTTTTCTCCCCACGTTTATTGTCTAGTATGACAGGGTTGGCTACTGCTTCTTCACTGTATCGCCTTTGCAATTACCCTATCTTTGCCATTTATTGTAACTCCAGTGGCAGTCATTAATAACAAATCTCACACTTAAGAACAAGAAAGGGACTTCTGTGCTGTTATGGATCCTGTGGCAACTGTCCTCCTTTCTTCTCACGTTTACTTGTGGTGGTCAGACAGCTGATGGAGTCTGTGGGAAGCCTTGCTGCCGTTTTTTCTTTTAAATCCCCTCAAGCAACGATACTTCCTGTTAGTCTGCATGCAGAAACAGTATCTGTAGGCACCTGAGTAAATTCCCTTGGTCAAAGCTTAGGGCTGTGTGGGTTGAGAGGAGAAGCCACTGGTTCTACTCTAAAGGCAGTACCTAACACTTAAAAAAAATGACACCAACAGAGAAGCTGAAACTGAAATCTTAGTGTGGAAGTAGCATCCGTTTAAGCACTGAATGTTTTTCAGCATGGATGGATGCTGTTCTGTAGGCAGCAAGGAGCGTGCCGGTATATCATACTGAATGGGGACTGCTCTGAGAATTCGGGGTTTGGATGTGAACTCAGCAGAAGTCCTGTAGCCAGTCGGGCTGTAGCAACTGCCTTGTGATTGGCATCAAGTTGCTGTAGTTTTCTACAAGGTAGGAAGTGGTGCCAGTTATTCACTTATGGAACCCTGTCACTGTTTGCTCTCAGTCCAGTGAAGTATTGCCTCAGCCACCAGGCTCAGGCTGCCTTTCTGGGACAGACAAACCCGGCACAACCCATTCTCACCCAGCTCTGCAAGCCACCTGCTGTAGGATGGTGGAGTAGCTTAGAAGCTCACAAGGCTGTCGTTTTGTATGCGTGCTTGTAAAAAGTCCATCAGCTTTTTTGGCAAAGCACAGAGATTCTGGGGTTTATGTACTGTTTCACCTATGTGACACTGCTGGCTGAGAGAATGGGAATTGCATGCTCCAGCTGCAGAGTTGTTTACATTGTGCTGGATAACATGCTCCTTAAATGCTTTTAAGGGGCTTACTAAGCGATCTGAACACTCTGAGGCTTTGCTGCCCTTGGAGGGAACTTTGTCTTCAGGGAGTTGCATACAGGGTTTCAGAGCAAATAAAACTACTTCAGTCTATCAAATCCTCAGTCTGACCCAATTTTCAGAGTTATAAAACAAGATTACAAAAGGGAAAGCACAGGAACATCCTGCCTCTTCTGCCTAATGGCTTCAGCTCTGTATCTTGCAGGGACTTTGTTTGCAGGCCTCCCTAACCAGCAGGAACAGGTTGTAAAGATGTGGCTCTGCCTTAGGCTGATGCTCTGCAGAAACTCATAACGGGACTTGTGTGCAGCGTGCAACTTCAGAACAAATCCCAAACAGCCCTGTTCCTTTCACATTTACTTCCATGGTACAGGAGCTCATGTATCTCCGTAGACTCCTGTGTTTATACATAAGGAGAGAGGGGGACCCAAATGAGCAAAGCAGTCTTCAAAGCCTCTGTTCAGCTTCCTCCTTCTATCCCTTTTGTTCATTACCTGAAGCCAGGGGTCATTGTTTCTTAAGTCCACACAGAGGCATCCTAATGCTGAGAGTATCAGCAAATGTATACATTGGTTCTTTCTTCTGTCACTGAGGAATGTGGAGTCCTTTGTGGCATTCCTTCCTTCCCCTTTTCTCTTGCAGATAGCCACAGGGAAAATAGGGAGGGGGGGGGGGTGTTGTAATTTAGTACCCTGTTAAGATTTTGTCTGCAAAGTGAAAACAGAGTACAGGGCGTATCTCCTGTGATCTGCATGGTGGGGTGGAAGGCACAGAGACTGAATGTGAGAGATGTGCCTATACAGACACCAGTTCAGCAATAAGTTCCCCAGTGGGAGTGCGTGTGTTCTTGGGTTGTATCTGAGCTGCAACCTCTGTTCTCCTGTGCTCTGTGAGATGTGCGTGTATTTTCAAGGGGTGCCTGGGTAGCTTAGAACGTTTTGAGCTGTGTATGCATATAACTAACAACTTCCTGAGATGGCAATTTGAGCACTGCATACCCTGGAGGTTGGTTAGCGCTCTGACTTCCTACTCCCAAGAGCAGGCTGTGCTAACGGGACATATGTGAGGCATGCACTTATTCTCACATGACTGCTTTTCTACCTCTCCCTAAAGAAAGTCTGTGATGATGAAGACAGCGAAGGAGAAGATGCCAGTGTCACTCAGGGAGATCTGGAAGCACTGATTTCTGGCCACTATCCTGTGAAATTGTCAGAGGAGACCAGCGGCAGCTCTTCTGCAGTGGCCCAGCCTGTCAGCAAGTGGGTTTGTGCACAGTCCTCCCACAGCAAGAAGGAGAATCACAACCAGTGCATCACAGAGAAGCTGGAAGTGCTGGCAAAAGCCTATTCTGTCCAGGGGGACAAGTGGAGATCTCTGGGCTACGTTAAAGCCATCAATGCACTCAAAAGCTACCACAAACCAGTTACCTCCTACCAGGTAAAACACTTCCCCAGAGTAGTGGAACACAGACTCTGCATCCCATCTCTTTTGTAAGGCAGATCTGTTCCTGTTTCTGTGTGAAGTAGCTGATCTTCGTGCCTTGGGAACTGTGTTGTATGTTGTTATTTAGTGAGTTGGATTCGTTCACCACCAGCAGAATCTTGGAATCAGAGCCTCTACCCCATATTCAAACTCAGAGTCTCTTAGGGTAGGATCTGAGCACCCACGAGGTAAATGCCTTGCCTAGGTTCAAGGCAGGGCCATTTCCACTTTCCTCATAAACCTCAGCAATGGGCTAGCATTGGAGATAACATATAAAATCTGTTGAATCTGGAGCTGGCTGACTGTGACAGCCCAGCTGTTCAGTGTGGTAGTGTTTCAGTCCTGTTCTGCACGCTTGTCTTTTTTCACTTGGCATTGAACCTATGTCAGCCAGATCTGAAGATGAGCAGCTCACAGAACTAGTCCTGCCGCTTAACAATCACTGATCTGACTGGGTTCTGAGTGGTAACAGCTCCCCAGCTTGTGTGTGGCCTCTGTCACCTCTGATTTCTTTCCAGGAAGCCTGTAAAATTCCTGGGATTGGGAAGCGAATGGCAGAGAAGATCCTGGAGATCTTGGAGAGTGGACATCTGCGCAAGCTGGATCATATCAGTGAGAGTGTGCCTGTGCTGGAGCTATTTTCCAACATCTGGGGAGCAGGAGTCAAGACAGCTCAGATGTGGTACCAGCAGGTAAGTTTAGAGCTTTATGCAATGGCTCTTGGGCTGTGATTTGAGGACTGCTTGTGAGTACAGCAGGGGAATTACTTTAACAAATAGTTTCCGATTGCCAGTATCCACAGATAGGATTCAAATCTGCATGAATGGGAGTAATTGTGAGGCTGGGTCCTGTTGTGGGTGTATTTGGGGAGAATGGAGTGCAAGCAGCCAAGACTGAGTTTGGTCATGGGGTAGACGGCAAAGATGTGCGATAGGAAGAGTGGAGGAGGACACACACCGTCTATTCTGTTGCCATCACTGCTTGGAGATTCATCTCTGCTCACTGAGTGACACTGTTAGGAGCCAGCCTTGAGCCAGGATGCCTTGGGTGTCAGTTCCCAATCCAGTCGCTGCCCTGTTGTCCTGGCTGGCTCCTATAGCTGTTAGAGCAGCCACCCACCTTGGTGTAAAATAAGTGACAACATGAGCCTGTCCAGCCCTCTGGTTAAGTTCCTTCTCAGAAGGCTCATTGTTTCCTGAGCATAGATCAAGCGAAGCCTGCCTTCCTGTAGTGTTTGGCTTGTGAATGGCTTCTTTGCTGTCTAAAAATATGCCTGTGTTTCCACCATAGGCTTTCCTTTACCTGCACCACTTGATGTCATTCAAGCTGTAAAGAGCACAGAAGCCTTAAGAACAGCATCCTTCTGTCAGGTTTAGCTAAGCTTTGAGGTCGTTGTGGGTGGAACTTAGGAGTATGTGTGAGGATTGCCTAAGTATCTTCTTTCCGGTAACGAGGCTGTAATCTCTACATGCAATTTCAGAAACTGTGACTAGCCTGGTCTTGAGACAGGTTAAATACGATCTGCCCTGGTGCTAGTGGAAAGCATTTGAAGAATGAGGTCTCAGCAGAGGTGTGTTCTGCACTAGGGGTTCCGGACGCTGGATGATGTCCGCACAAAGGCGTCTCTCACCAGCCAGCAAGCCGTGGGCCTGAAGCACTACGAGGATTTCCTGGAGCGCATGCCTCGGGAGGAAGCTGCAGAAATAGAGCAGACTGTGAGTAGCTTGCCTCTGAGCCCTTGGAGTGCAGGAGCTGCTGGGATCTGACAGGAAGTTGCAGGCTGTGGAAGTGTCCCTCTGTTATAGCTGAGTTCTTGAGCAACTTCTCTGAGTTTGTCAGTGCTTGGGTGACTGCTCTTGGCTATAAGCCCACCAAGCACTTACCTTAACCTGTGGGAACGATCGGTTTGAGTGCTTGGCAAGAAGGAGGATACTTCCCAGCTGTCAGTTCCTCACAGTGCTTCGAAAAAAACTAATGTGGCATGATGGCTCGAGCAGGTTCTAGCTCCCCTTTCCTGCCTCTCATCTTCTCTCATATCTGGTTTTGGCCAAAGGCCTGAGCTAATTCCCTGATGCTACTTCTCCAAATGAGTCCACGAGCATTCTGTGAGCTGGTTGTTGGTGTTGAGACAGACCTTGGATATCCTTGGTAGAAGCAGAGGGGATCCAGGCACAGAAGGGGGTTGCTCGCTCTAGTAAGCCGTGGCTCTCCAGGACCGTGGGGTGCTAAGTCAGTGTACCCTAATGTGAGCAGAGAGGAGCTTGGGGCTCCGTCATTGCTACCCCTGTACTCTCTGATCACCATGGAGGCAGCAAGCAGCGTGACCCTGTCACTCGGCCACAGGGCCTGGCCACAAAGAATACCCTCCTGCCAGGCTCCTGCTGGGGTGTCAGTCCCGTATGCCGGATTAGCCAGTTTGGTTGTGAGTGGTCCTTTTCCCATGCAGGCTGGTGTGAGGAGCTGGCTCTTGGGGCTGGGCCTATTGTTATCTTGATGGGATTACTGTGCTCCCCTCCATACACAGGCACACACCTCTGATCCAGGCCAGGGAGAGAGAATAAGGGATTAGTCACTGTCTGTGCCGCCTGTCACAGTGAGAGCTGATGAGCTTTTAGGCTTTTGGGTGGGGTTGGGAGTTTTCTAGAAATCTTCATTTAAAGCCAGAAGGGGGGCAAGGACACCAGAGGAGGGCTTGCTCCGCATGAGAAAGGGTTGTGGCTTCTTGAAGCACCTCTGGGGCAAAGGTTAATGGGTTTATCTCTTGCTAATGAAGGATGATCCCCAAGAGTGACAAGGGACTGTGGGCATGGACACTACCTTCCTGAACCTCAGCCCCTGTGTTGGCCTCGTCACTGGGAATTGCTGAGCCCCTAATTATTTGCTGCCAACAGGGTGATTGGCACAATCAGTCCAAGAATACTTCTGTCCAAGGACATGGGAGCCTTTCTTAAGCATTTAATGAATGAAGCCATCAGAACTGGTTCTGTCCACGCAGAGTGAGAGCTGGGATCCAGCCTGGAGGGGTCTGCAATAGTGGTATCTCTGATGATGCTGCCTCCCTAAAACTACTGCATCTTCCAACTTGTCCCAACCCAGCTGCAGCCAGGCCTTCCCCAAGAGCTGATACCAATGGCCAACTTGTGGCAGCAGCCTAATAGATCATTGTGTTGTTGGCAGCGGGCTGGGCGTTTGCAGGACTGTATGAAAGCCATCCCAGCACTGGCGGCTTCTGACAGCAGGCCAGTCTTCTCCTTGGGGCAGTTTGCCATGCCTGCCAAGTGTCAGCTCTGTACAGAGACTCTGGAGCTGCAGGACTGGCTGAGGCAGGTGCAAGATCATTTGCTGTCTGGACAGAGAGGGCATTAAGAGAGTAGTCTGTGACTCTTCTCCCCTCTTTCCCCCTCTGTTCTTGAAGGTCAGACAAGCAGCCCTGGCCCTGAAGCCTGGGCTCGTGTGTGTGGCATGTGGCTCCTACCGTCGTGGGAAGGCCACCTGCGGAGATGTGGACGTGCTGGTCACTCACCCAGATGGTCAGTCCCACCGTGGGCTGTTCAGCAAGCTGCTTGACAACCTCCACGAGAGCGGTAAGGGGGCTGGGGGCTGGCACACGGTGCTCGAAGCTGGTCTTAGCAGAGCCAAGCCAAGGAGGGACTGAGGTCAGAGCTACGCATGAGTAGCATTTGTTGAAGGGCAGGTGATTGCTCCTCCCGTCTCGGGAGGCCGTCGGGGCTGAGGCTGTGTTGTTGTAGGGACCCTGCAGCACACCGAGACGCCTCAGCTGCTGCCTGATGGTGGAAAGTTCAGAATGGGGATTCCAGGTCTGCTGCTCAGTCCCCCTCTGCCTGCTCCCTCTCCTCAGGCTTCCTGACGGATGACCTGGTGAGTCAGGAGGACAACGGTGAGCAGAAGAAGTATCTGGGGGTGTGCCGCCTTCCTGGGCCAGCCCGTCGTCACCGCCGTCTGGACATCATCGTGGTACCTTACAGTGAGTTTGCCTGCGCCCTGCTCTACTTCACCGGCTCGGCCCACTTCAACCGCTCCATGCGTGCCCTGGCCAAGACCAAGGGCATGAGCCTCTCAGAGCATGCCCTCAGCATGGCCGTGGTGCGAGGCCCTGGTGGTGTCAAGGTGGCATCCGGCCACGCTCTGCCCACCCCGACCGAGAGGGATGTCTTCGCTCAGCTGGGGCTGCCGTACCGAAAGCCCTCGGAACGGGACTGGTGACCCCGGTTGGCAGCCAGCACTCCGAGCTGTGCTGATGTTTTGAGGGGTGCTGGCTTCTCCAGCGCTGTTCTGCGGTGGCTGTGAACTGGGTAACGGATGGCAGCAAACGGACTCCTGGCAAGCTGGGGCCCTGCTGCTAGCAGAGCTTTGTGGCTTCACCCAGCAGAGGGCGTAGGCTGGAAGGGCTGCCCGGCGTCACGCGTCTGCCTGTGCCTGGTTCTCAGGCAGCCCCTGGCTACTGAAGGGACTCACTGCCCATCAGCTAACCCTGGCCTGGCTCTCTCTAGGGAAGCTCCAGAAGGCTGGCTTGGAGATCGTTATGCCAAAAGCCCTCCTGGTGCTTGAGTAGTGGGGGAGAGTGATGCATCTTCCTCTCTGTGTGAGCACAGATGCCCCATAATCTCTGTTCTGAGCTGTGTACGAAGGCAACAGGGATCCTGCCTGGCCTGGAAACGAGCCCCTTTTCTCTGCTTGCTGCTGCTGGCATCTGCTGCTGTGAGAACTGCAAAGGTCTCCCTGTGCTGCTGCTATGTCTTCTCTCTGTCTGACTTGTGTTGTCTGATGGGTCTCATTACACAGTGCCAGGCAGCTTCCCCTGGAGCCAGGTGAGCCCTGAGGAATATGTAAAAACCCAGTGTGCTCCATCTACATGTTCTCAGTCCATCGTGTGCTGAGCATCCTGCAGTGCAGAGTGCTGCGATCCTCCTGGCCTGAGCACAAGGGCTCCTTTCCCCTCTGTGCAGGAAAGAAAAGGCCCCTTTGGCTTCAGGGTGACTGTGCTCAGGATTGTAATGGTGCTGAATGTAACCTGGAAAGGCTGTGTGTTTGGTGCATGCAAAGCATGGAAGCAGAGAGAAACACAGATAATTCAGTGTTAATCCGGGCAAAGCAGAGCTTTCCTGTTTTTTGTGTGTGATGACCAGGAAGTCACCTGGTCTGTATTGATCAGAGCCAGTGTGTGTGTGCACATGTACAGGTGTGCTAACCCCTTCTATTCCAAGGGAGTGAATTTTGTTTCTCAGGAAACCTCAACTATTTATATGTTCTGGAGATGGATTTTGTGGAGGCTTTCAGTGCTCTGCGGCATCAGCTGCTGGTGAGGCCAGGGTGTTCCTGCCTCAGTCTCTGGGGCTAATCTGGCCTTACACTCCCTTGTCTTGTAGGGGACCTGGCCACCCCCACTCCACACTTTGCTGCATCTTTGTCACGTGCAGGGATGAGCTGTGTTTGCTGCCAGGGCAGCCACTAGGCCATCAAACCTGGCTGCTGGGGAGCTGCAGTGGGGCCTGGGTATTTGCTGGGGAGGACTCAATCCAGGCGGTGTCCTTGGTCAGCCCAGCCCTTCTATAGAACGCCTGGTGGAAACGAATGTCTTCTGGCACGCATTGGTGCTTTGAAACATGAAGTGTAATAAATCCTTTCTCTCTTTTTCATCCAGCTCTGGGTGCAGTGGTGAGCTCTTCCTTGGGGGACTGGGGCTGCCCCTCTCATCACATCAGAGTCACATGCTGGGGACAACGCTACTGGTAGGGGAGATGCAGTACTGCTGTCCCCCATCTCTTTTCCCTTTGTCCTTTCCTATGGGGCCACGATTCACTCTGTGGTGCCAATTGAGTGCTGCAGCAGCCGTGCAAAGCTCTGGTCTGGCTGTGTGTGCTTTTACAAAGGGGGAGGGCTGGGGCCGTTCTCTGGGCAGCACAACTTTCATGGGGACATGAAGAACTCCTGCCAGCCCCCTGCACTCTGAGGGAAGGGTCTTCTGTCTGTCCCTGTCCTCCCATCCCTCAGCTCCCTGCCCAGGAGCTCTGGAGAGGGCAGAGAGCCCTCCCGTGGCCAGCAGCAGCTGCAGCTGCGTGGTCCAAGGATGGGGCCATTTCCCCTGCAGATGCAGCACGATGGCCCTGCCGGTCACCAGGAGTGGTGCTTCTGGGTTCCAAAGGCTCCCACTTCCCCCTTGTGCTGGGCCAGGCAGAGCAGCACCAGTGACTGGATCATGCTGGACTGGGCAGAGCCTCCTGCCCTGCACGGAGGGGACAGAGCACCCGTTCTGCATCTTCTGAGTCACTTGCAGACCTCAAGGAAGGGATTACCTCCACTCTGGCATTTCCCAAAGCCAGGTGTGGCTCTGGGACCACTCCTCTGCCTGTGCAGCAGAGCAGGAGCTGGCCACTACGTGTCCCCAGCACAGCTTCTGTCTCTTCTAATGTCACGCAGAAGAAGGTTCAGAGCTCAGAGCCCCAGCGGAGCTCCTGGGGTGCCTGGGATGGGTGTATGCCTGTGGGCGCTGAGCTCCCAGGATGGCTGCAGACAGGGTGAGCTTTAAGATTGCTTTAAGCATCTCCCATGGGGTGTTGATTGGCTCCTGCACCCCAGGAAGGGCCTTCAGTGCTTTCCCCCTTCCTGTCCTCCCTGGCTGTGAGTCCGATCATCCTGAAAATTAAAAAGAAACCCGAACACAGCAGCACTTGAAGAGACTGAGTGGGGACAGGCATTGAGTTCCCGCCGCAGAGCCCCTCGCTCCCACTTCTGCCCTGTGTGCCCCCAGTGTGGGCACACTGTCAGGCAATTCCTGTCCCACCCAGCAGCTCTCTCTGCCCCCAAAAGTAAAAGGAAGAAAAAGCCATGCTGAGTCACAAGGCCCTGCTCCCTACCCCATGGGGGGGATGCCTCACCCCCTGTGCCTGTCCTACAGGGGGCAGAGGGGTGCAGAGGGGCTCTTTGGGCTCCAAACGGTGGCACTTTGTACCATGAGCAAATATTTGCTAATGGCAGCACGGCCGGGAGAACGTAGCGGAGCTGCTCCCCCCGCCGGGGCAGGCAGGGAAATGAATATGAATTTATCATGATTAGGTGAACCCAGCAGGGAGAGCGGGAGAGAGAGGGCCAGGCAGGGAGGGGGCGGGCGAAGATGGATCTGTGCAATAAAATTAAATAAGGACACCAAATAGAGTCGCTGCTCGCGCGCCTGCCCGCCCGCGTGCTGGGCCTCTCCCGCCCTCCCTCGCTCCTCCGGCTTTGCTGATTTCTCTCTTTCCTCAAATTTATGAGGCCAATTATGAAGATGAGGTTGGAAGTTCTCAGAAGTTCACTAAATGCAAAGTGCGGTCCCTGCTGTTCCCATCAAATTAATTAACCGAGCGCTATTGATGGCCGGGCGACGTCGGTGCGGCGTGGAGCGAGAGGGAATGGCTGCTGGGGTGCAGCTGGGGGGGGACGGGGGACCCTGTGAGGTGTCCCAGGGCAGCAGCCGTGTGCCCGGTGCACCCCTGCCCATAGGGGCGGTTCCCGGGGGTCCTACACAGCCCCTATGTCTGCTGTGTCCCCATAGCAGTGAGATACACGCTCTATGGGCGACCTGCTGGGATGCTTGTAGGTGGGAGATGCAGAGCCCCAGGCTGAGCTCAGCCACCACCCAGCCAGCCCTCCCCTCACTCATTTTTGGCGGAAAACAAACCCAAAGCAATTATGTTGCTCAGAGACGCCTCACCCCTGTGCTGTGCTGCAGCCAGTGCTTGAGGCTGGCAGGGGACGGTCCTGAGCCCTTTCAGAAGGCCTGGTCCTGAGGCCCCGGATCAAACCCAGAAGGTCTCCATTTGCTGCTCTGCCGCTCTGTGCCTCAGTTTCCCCCCTCCTTGCATTTCTTGGGGCTGTTTGCTCCATGCATTGCCAAACCAGCATCCCAGTTTCCAGGGAGCGCAAAGACACAGAGAGATGCCCCCCAAAACAGCCTGATTTGGCACCAAATATTTGTGCCATGGATTGCTTGCACTATCCAGGCATGAGAACCTTCACCCCGCAGTGCCACGAGGTCTGAGACCACGCAGCCCCCCATCCCAGGGCTGTAGGGCCGGCTCTCCTGCTGCCCCGTCATCAGTGAGCTCTGCTTGGGCCACACGGCGGCACAAACAGCCGCGTTTACAGAGGCGTTTCTCTCCAGCAGAGCCATAACTCAGCTCCCGTCACCACGGGAAAGGGGAGGCAGGCTCTCCAGTCTCCTCGGATGGGAGACGTGTTACTTGCCGATAATTTACCTGCTCGTGTCAAATCGAAAAAAGAAACAGCCCGGCAGCTCCTGGGCTGCTGACGCTGGGCTCAGAGAGGGAAAAAATCAATCCCAAACCCAAAGGAGCGGTTTGAGAGCAGCCGGCTTTGGGGCCGGGCTCCCTGCCGGCTGGTGCTGTAGGGCTGAGCTCGCAGCCTCGTTCTGCCCCGCACCCGGCCCCAGCCACGATCCAGAGCTGCGCAGGTGGGGTGGGAGGGGGAGATGATGAGGAACCTCGTCGGGAAAGGAGGCGGAAATCAGGGAGAGGTGAGGGGACAGGCAGCAGAGGGAGCTGGAGGACCGGGTAAGGGCAGCGCGGGGATGCCCGAGGTGGAGGCGGCCCGGCTCCGTGCAGCTCCTTGTCTCGGGGATGGGATGCCGGGGTAGGAGGTGGGTTGAGATGGCGCAGTGACCCCAAGCCAGGGGCGGGCTCAGCCCGTGCCCGCAGCCCGTCTCCTGCACCAATCCCTGTCACCTCCTCCAGTTTTACTCGCAGCGAGGTCCTGAGCCGGCAGCACTGAGCCTGGAAGGACGCTCATCCCAGCGAGGGGATTTGGATGGCTCTGTGACCATCAGCAGCAGAGCAGTGAGCCAACAGGGAGCGGGAGAACCTGGTGCAGGTACGGCAGAACCTGAAATTGTCCCCCTGCTCTGCTCCCTCTGCCTCCTGCTGAGCCCCGGGGTGTAGAACTCACCAATTGTTCCTGCAGTCAGCACAGTCTGCCTTCCCATTTGGCAGGCCAGGCTGTGGGTCTGAGCTCTGGGGACACCGATCCCAGCTGCAACCTGCCGCCCTCCCACCTCCCTCCCTCTACCCTTGCCATTCCCAGCAGCAGGAGCCAATTCACAGCCATGGGTGCCACGCTGGGACAGTATGGCCCCTGGAGCATGGGTGGTCGAAGGCACTTGCTGCTCCCAGGAAGCAATGCCCACAGCAGGAAGGTCTCACTCTTGCTGCTGTGCCAGGTCCTGCAGTGGTCTTTGTGGTGCCTCCAGGCTTCTGCTGCTGTGGTCTCTGCCATTCTGGATGGGAACTTGTCATGCTTTTCAACAGATAGCATTTTTCTGCTCCCCATTTCCCATGCAAAGCTGAAGCAGCTCACAGGAGATGCAGCAAGACCCCCCACCCTGCTCCTAAGGTTGTACCATTGGGACACGCCAAGAGATCGCCATTGAAACACCCAAAGGAGGCACCACTGGGACACCTCAAGGGTTCCTATGGGAGCACCATTGGGACACCCCAAGGATCCGTCAAGGGGACACCCCAAAGGGACATGGCTGGGATGCTCCAAGGAGGCACCATTGAGACATCTCAAGAGGACATTATGGGGACGCTCCAAGGAGACGCCAGTGGGACACTCCGACGGCCAGCACCCACAGCCACTGGGGGATTTGGGTCCGGGGGGGCCCTCTTGCTCATTCTCCGTTTTCTGCCTTAATTAGAACCCGGAGAGACCGGGCGAAATCGCATTAGCGCGGGGCCCCGGTGCGCGGAGCCATCCATCTTTTTTTATTACAGCGTAATGGGGCTGCTCGCGAGGCGCCGTGCGATTTGTCACAGGCCTCGTTCCCTGATAACGGGCATTTGTCATCACTTTCTTCCCGTGTTAATGTCATCATCGGCGGGCTGACAGGCGGACCCGCGCAGGGAGCGCTGGCGACAGACCACATCCGTCAACCTAATATTTCCGTGGCTGTGGGGATCGGCCGGGCTGAGCGCACGCATTAAGGCGCTTATGGGGGAGAGAGAGGGAAAGGGAAAAAAAAAAAAAAGCTAAAAAAAAAAGCTAAAAAAAAAGAAAAATAGAAGAAAAAAAAAAGGAAAAAAAAAAAAGAGCCATTGTCGTTCATTAAAACGTTGGCACGAGCGAGTCACTGCATGGGACACAGCCGTGGCTTTCTGCTGGAGGACGCAGCATCTCCTGGATCGCATCTGGGGCAGCAAAAGGTCTTCGGTAAGAGGGGAGGAGATAAGTGGGGTGGTTCCCCCCCATGTCCCACCCCGAGGGTTTGTGCCAGGGCTCATTGGAGGTGTTGGTGGGATGAAGGGAGCAGCCTCAGCCCCATGGGGTGGTGGGAGGGAGGGGAAACCCCCAGTCCTCCCACCAGGGACCTGACCCCGGCCTGCAGCTGATGATAATTTGTGGTTGGGGGCGCTCAGGGCTTCGCCCCCCAATATTTGGCTGTTTCCATGGAAACTGGGGGTGGGGATAGGGAGAAAGGTGCTTGGGATCATGGGTCTTCATGGGGGGGGCTGTCATTTTCAGTTCTTTTCTATTCTTTGGGTAATAACGCAGAATAAGGATTTTTAATTTAATGTCTGTATTTCTAATACCTCTGCAGGGCACCTGGGGGCTTTCGGCCGGTGCTCCCAGCCGCTTCTGCCCACTGCCTCCCCGGCTCTGCCCTGCACATCCCAGGACATCCCACCCCCTCCCAGGTTGGGAGTTTGGGGTTTTCCCCAACAGCCGATGGGGAAACTGAGGCACACAACGCCGCGCCCCCAATGCGCTCCCACCGTAAATCGCTGCCCTCCGGGGCCGACCGCCTTTTAGGAAGGATTTGTTGGGGGCGGGGGGATGGGAGGAGTGGGACACGGCTTGTGTGCGGCGGCAGCGATGCGCTCCCATAAATCGAGAGGCAATAGCAGCAGCGAGGGGGGCACGGAGCACCCTGCCGCCCCATCCCTGCACTCTGCAGCATCTCCCGCTCTGCACAGAGCGCAGCGTGGAAAATCCCCCGGCGGGGAGTGCGGACGCGTGTTCTTTGTAAATGAAGAACATAATTAACATTAAATTAAGGTAATACAAATGAAGACAACACAGCGCCTGACAGGATGAGTGTTTGGGGAGGCAGTAGAGAGAAGTGATTCATATTTTTAATTTACTGTACAAATAGACTAGCAGGGCTGGGGGGGGGAAAGGGCCATCCGAGTGGAGTGGGGATTTCTTTGCTTTTTTTCCTTCTTTTTTTTTTTTTCTTTTTCTTTTTCTTTTTCCCACTGTTGTTTTGCTGTGCTTTAAGCACACAATGACTATTAAAGTCAACTGCCCATATAATAGGACATCTCCTACATGAGCGCTCTCCGAGAGGCAGCTTGCTGCAGCCATAAATCCCGGCAGTGCCATCTGCTGGCGCGCACCTCGCGCCCCGACCGCCCCGGCACCGACCCGCTCCGCGACACGGGATCCTTCCTTCTCTTTCTATAGCGAAGCACGCTTTGTGCATGTATAGCTATTTTCTGAATGCTCATCCTTCAAAGACGCGTTTTGGAGAGGTTGGGTTGGGGAGCGTTGGATCCCAGGAAACGTGCTGTGGTTTGGAATGACACAAATCTCCACTCTCCTCTCCACCCAATGCTCCCTCCCTCAGCACTGGGCACACCGTAGGAAGGCACCCAGGACAGATCACCTCTGTCTTTGCTTCCACAGATCCAAGCAAGGCCGTGAGTACCCTCACGGTACCGAAGTCACTTCTCTGTAACACCTCTGATTTTTTCAAAGCCTTCCCCTCACCGTCGCTGTGTCATTCCCTCATCCTCAGTGCCCTCTGAGTATGGCTGAATCCTTTTGGTGGGTTTGGGCAGTGCTGGAGCCCTGTACTTCTCCCAACCCCATGAGGGATTATTTAGAACTACAAAATTGTTTGAGTTGAAGGAACTCTTAAATGCCACCTGGTCCCATTCTCCTGCATTGAACAGGGGCACCCACAGCTTCGTCAGGTGCTCAGAGCCCATCCAGCCTGACCTTGGGTGTCTCCAGGGAAGTGAATGTCCCCACCTCTCCCCTCTCTGGGCAACCTGTGCCTCGGCCCCAGTTCACTGGACAATTTTGGTGGTAGGAGGTTGTTTGGACTCAATGACGTTAGAGGTCTCTTCCAACCTTAATGATTCTACAACATGACAGCAGGGCTCGTGGGTCACACCGGCACACAGGGGTCGAGGGGTCACTGCTTGCCAGGGGGAGGGCACGGGGCATCTCCCAGGCTGCCCAGCACGCCGGGTGGGAGAGAGAAATAAATACCGGAATAAATAAATACCAGTGGCAAAGAGGCCTGAAATGATGCTGTCGTTTGCTGGGAATGAGAGACACAAGTGTAATTTAGGTTTTGATATTATGAAAGTCTCGCTGCTCTAAAACAGCAGGGCACTCAGTGCCTCATTAATAAAGGATAAACTTGGAGTCTATTTACAATGCACTTTTTGGGGTTATTTACACTCCATTATACATATGTAATGCTGCACATATTTACCGCTCTGTTCTGCTGCCGAGAGCAGCCGAGTCGGGAGGGGGACGTGGAGGATGCTATGGGGCCACGATCTCTGCTTCCACGGTGTTGGACCAGGCAGTAGGGATCCATACGGACCAGTCGCTGTTCCCATGAGCATCGTCGGGCTGCGGGTTGGCAAGACGTCCAGCAAACACCCACCACTGTCCCTGCTCCCCTCTCAGCACTCGCTGGGGCTCAGGGCGGGCTGTGCTCTGAGCCCTCCAGGCTGCTCTCCGTGGCCCCGTATCCACGGAGCCTCAGCAGCCCCGCATGGCACGGTGGGGCGAGGGGTTGGCAGGCAGCAAAGACACGGCTGATCTCCACGAAGGTCTTGTTCTTGGTCTCGGGGACGATGAGGTAGACATAGAGGGCCACCAGCAGGCAAACCCCACAGAAAACCAAGTAGGAAAAGGCACCGGTTGACATCTGGGGACAAGGAGAGGGAAGGGTTGGGGCGGCTGGTCTCAGCTCCTGGGGGAGCAGAAGGGTCATGGCCATCCCAGAGCCCAACCCGAGGCCATTACCTGCAGGAACGGGAAGATGAAGCCGATGGTGAAATTGCAGAGCCAATTGAGAGAACCCCCCAGGATATAGGCAGCTGAGCGGTGGGACTGCGTGAAGAGCTCGGCTGTCATCAGGAAAGGGACGCCAGCTGCGGAGGGATGGTTGGGTCAGTGGCAGGGGACCAGGATGTCACGGCCCTTTGGGACAACAGGATGGGTACTGGACCGGGAAGCTTCAGTCCTGGTGCTGTGCCCGGGGTCCCAGTGCTGGGGATGCTCAAGTCACCCTCGTGAGAGGTGCTCCAAGGAAGGAAATGAACAAGCAAGCAAAAGTGATAATAACTCCAGGAGGAGTGCAGCCCCCGATGGACTCTTACTCACAGCTCGCCCAGAATAGAAATATGTATATTTTTGTTATAAAAGTCCTATTCATCATTGTTTGTGAACAATGAGCCATTAAAATCCTAATTAAAGATGTAATTACAGTGAATAAAGTCTGGGCTGAGGATGAATTATAGATCTGCTAACGGCTCTGCTAATACATCAACTGGGTAAAGCAGGGCAGGTTCTGTGCCTGAGGTCTGGAGCACCCAGCTCTGTGCTGTCCCCTGTCCCCACCCCCGGCCCCACAGCCCCCAGGCCCACCTGGCCCCATGCAGAACCCAGCGATGATGCCCACCACGCAGGCGACGGCGACGTAACGCATCCAGGGCAGGGCAATCTGTGGTGGGACACGGGATGGTGGGACACCAGTACAGAAGAGAGATGGGTGGTCCAGGGCAAAGCAGAGCCAGCTCAGGGAGCACCCATCCCATCCACTGGAGGGTTGGACTTGGTGATCTCAGTGATCTTTTCCAACCTTAATGCTTCTATGCGCCTGTGATTCATCCCTTCACCACCCAGCCCTCATTAAGGGTTGCCCGGGGTTGGAATCTCATTAAGGTACCCAAGGCCCATGGGATGGCAATGTCCCAGCCCTACCTGAAGCAGCAGGCAGCCGGTGATGCCTGCCAGGCAAGTGCCCATGGCACAGAACCCGGTGATGATGAGGGGCCGCCGGCCCAGCTTCTCAATGGTGAAGCACTGCCAGGGGAGAGCAGAAAGCAAGGGGACAATGGGGATCCCACGGTGGTGATGAGGGTACACTGTGGGTCCAGGTCCAGCTGCAGGCACAGAGTGCTCCTGGTGGCACCTCTATGTCCTCATTCAGATATATGCCCTAAAATTGAGCCTTCTCACCCCATTCTTCCACCCCGTTTTCCTGCCATCCCCCTGCAGAGAGTGGCACAGATGGTATATGGGGTCTATCTGATCCAAGGCTCGATGGTGCTGGGTGCTGAGGTCTGTCTGTCCATCCCTCACTCACCCCAATCAGCCCCGCAACAACTTCAATGGCGCCGGTGCCCACAGTGGTGTACGGGATCTGGGATTTGGGGATCCCTGCGTTCTGGAAGATGGTGTTGGTGTAAAACCAGATCTGCCAAGGAGGAGACTCAATGTGAGCGGGGGCGCAGAACTCTGTGTCCCAGCAGAACCAGGTTTCAGGACCAGGACTCACGGCATCGATCCCTGAGAGCTGCATGCCCACATTCACCACCGCCACCGAGAGGGTCTGCCAGCGCACAGAGCCGTCCCGCAGCAGCTGCCGGACAGAGACCGTCTGCACCGAGGAGAGGGACTGCTGCTCCTCCTTCATCTCCTCCAGCACCTCCTGCACATCAGGTGTCCCCAGGAACCGGCGCAGCGCTGTGAGTGAGGGTGGATGGGTGCTCATAAACACGGCATGGGGGGATCCACTGGGCCGTGCATCCCTGGGAGTCAGAGAGATGCCCTGACACCACAGTGATGGGCACCGGGGAAATGCTATGGGATAATTGAGTGGGAGAGAAGATTTGGGTTATACGGGGTATGGGGGCTGTCAGGGTAGTGTGGTAGGACGCATACAAACAGGTGGTTCCCCCCTAGGACAACCCTCACCCTCAGTTGCCCCACAGACATCATTCCTCTCTATCAGTAGGAACCGTGGGCTCTCTGGGAAGCAGTGCAGCAGCAGGAGCTGGAGGGAGGCAGGGATAGCCACCACCGCTAGGAACAGGGGCCAGTACCTGTCCTGGGGAGAGCAGAGATGGAGATGTGTCATGGGGAGGGCAGTGCAGGGCCTGCGGTAGGGGCACAAAGGGGACATTCCATCGGGGGGTAACCCTTTGGGAGGGCATCCCACTGGGGGACATCCCGTTGGGCAGTACCCCATTGGGTGATACCCCATCCTGCTCACCTGGCCCAGCAGCTCAGGCAGCCCCAGCACCTGAGCGCAGAACACCCCCAGGCAGATGAAGATGCTGGGCAGGAGGCCCAGGAAACCCCGCAGGTTCTTGGGAGCGATTTCTCCCAGGTAGAGGGGCACCACGCTGAGACAGATACCTGACAGCATGGACAGCAGGGCCAGGCGGTAGGCAGCGAGGTGGCCACACAGACAACACCCAGACCCTCTCAGGGTTAGGGTTAGGGTCTTCTCCACCCACCTGAGTGCAGCCCGGTGATGGCACGGCCGATGATCACCATCTCGGGAGCTGCCAGCTGTCGGCTGAAGGCCATGAGGCCACCGGCCAGGAGGACGAGCAGAGCGCTGCGTCCCAGCGTGCCGTGCCTATGGGGTACACACAGCAGTGGGGCAGCCCCTATGGCCCCATCTGCCCCGTGCCACCCCCTTACCTGCCATAGCGTGCCACCAGAGTCCCCACCAGCAAAGAGCCCCCCAGCCCGCCCAGGGCGAAGACGGAGACGGTCAGAGAGTAAAGGAGGGTGAGGGGCCCAGGGGGCAGCCCGTGCCCATAGCGCTGGGACCACGTGGCGTTGTAGAAGGCCTTTATGTGCTGTGGGGCAGAGAGATGGGCACTGACTGGAGAGGAGAAAGCCGGGGGGCCAACAGCATCACAGCCAGCCCTGGGGCAACAGCCTGAGGGAAGAGCCAGCACTTCACTGTTGGGCAGGAGTTGGGGTCCCACCGCCTCCACGGAGGGATGCAGATCCCGGTGGGGCTGTGCCATCCCTTACCGCCGCTGGCGAGTTCACCACGGCCAGGTTGTAGCCATAGAGCATGGAGGAGCCGAAGGATACCAGGAGGGTGACGGAGAGCAGGGGCCAGGTGAGGCGCTGGGGGAGAGGAGAGCAACAGAGCCCTGTTCCAAGCACATATCCCAGCCCCACAGAGCTCCCCAGTAGCCAAATCCCAGTCCTGGGAGTTTCTTCTCCCCCAGCCCCCCTTTCTGAGCTCAGCAGTCAGATCCATAGCACTCAGCAGCTCCCGGCTCACGCACACCAAATCCTCACTAATCCCAGTCGGAATCCCGAGCTGGGAACTGGGGGGGGGGGGGGGTTACACACCATGAGGGATGTGGGGAATGGGGATGGGGCAGCGCCCAACCCAGACCCCTGCCTACCCAACACTCACCCCACTGATGTCCCTGCTGGGCCGCGAGGTCCCCTTCTCGTCGGTCTGAGGATGAGGAGGAGGGGAGGAAGGCAGCCCCTGTGCCTGGCTCTTCTCTCCCATTTTCAGATGGAAGGAGGGAAGGGAAAGGAAAAGAAGGAAAGGCAGTCTGAGCATTGTCCCCTGGGCTCATTGGAGGCTTCAAAGTGGGTGGAGGAGGAGTCTGGAGCCCTCCCTGCCTCAATGGGGCTCCTCAGGACTGGAGGCAGAGGGTTGAAAGGGATGCCCACATCTCCCAGCACCGCCATCAGCCCCCCACCATCACATCGGGCTGTGAAGCAGCTATGCCCCATCTGCTGTGACGAGGGTAGGAGGGCTGGTGACCCACGTGTCCTGATGAATGGGGGCATCTGCCCTTGTCGGGACCAGGGTGGCAGAGCCCCCAGCCCCAGGGTGCAGCCCCCAGCCCCAGAGAGTAGAGATGCAGCTCATGGCAGCTCAGAGGAATCCAATTTTGCTGCGGCCAGGAGCTGCCTCCCCTGCTGCTAATGAAGTGCCTTTAATTAGCAGCCTAATAGCAAGCTCTTAATTTGCTGAACAGCCAGTCAAAAGGATGGGGACCCCACTAAGCCAGGCTGGCAACAGCTCCAAAAGCTTAAAAGGGACAGGCCAGGCTGGCTGGCCCCACCGTGGGACAGGTCCCTCCATACGGGACTCCCTGTGTCCTGCAGTGACGTTCCGAGAGCCCCTCCATCTCTCTCTGCCTCAGTTTCCCCATGTCTTCATTGGGACAACGACCTGCATAGATCTGTGGGACTTCGAGGGCTCTGTCCTCAGAGCAGAAGGACAAGGCTGCTGTCACGGGGCTGTCACTGGATTTAGGAGTAAATCTGGGTTACTGTCACTGGTCCCCAGCAGCCGCTAAGAGCTTTGGTGGATGTGCAGGTGGGGACGATGTGGCAGGAAGGGAGGGGGGTGAGGAGGAAGCCTGAGGTGTCAATTAAGGGCCACTGGGGAGCCGGGTTAATTGGAGACACTCCTGCGACCTGACCCAGCGATGGTGGCACACGGTGCGATGGGGACAAGCGCTGGCAAGCAACCCCCACTGCTCCATGCTGGGATGCAGCTCAGCACTGCGTCTTACAGGCAGCCCCGGTCCTCCCCGACTCCGTGTGCTTTGGGGGGAAAGCAGGAGCCAGACCCCAATCCATCCCATTCCCTCCCACTCTCACCCCTGCAGGACCGCTCGCAGTCACCTCCTTTTCTGGGTGCTCTCCCACTGCAGGAAGGCCACGTACCTGCACGCAGCCCTGCCAAGCCCAGGTTTTCCTCCTCCAAGCCCAGCAGCCCTGGCACAGCAGCCCCTCACCTCAGCAAACATCCCCAGCAGCCACGAGGCTCCCACCATTAATGTGCCCAGCAGGCCGACACCGACTGATTTCCCTCTTCCCCAAACACTCCTTGCTGAAGTGCGCACATAAAATTGAAAGAAAAAACAAGAAAGAAACCACCACCAGAAAATTTCATTTTAAAGCCGTGGGTCGATCAAACGCTGTTAATTTGGAGATATGGCAAACATTACTTTCCTTCTTCATTTGAAGTGGAAATAAGGCACACATTTTTAAAAGGAAAGGGTAATTAAGCACTGAATCTATTTAAGATAAGCTGCCTGGCACTCACTCTGTTCCTGCAGAAATTTACAATGAAGATTGCTTTTCTGTCTCAGATCCTGTGCTCCCGGATGTGAAGGCAGAATTGCTGGGAAGTTCTCCAGCTCACTCTGATGGGTTGGAACTGGATGCTCTTTGGGGTTCCCTCCAGCCCCACTATTCTGTCACTCTCCCATCTTTGCGGTCCCTTCCAGCCCAACCATTCTGTGATTTTCTCACCTCTGGGGTCCCTTCCAACTCGATCACTCTGTCATTCGATGACCCTTGTCTTTGGGCATCGATGGGAAGGAGAGGAAGGGTTGGCTAGGGATAGAGCAGGATAGGAACAGCAGAGGATAAAGCAGCATCAATCGACGATGTACGTATTAAAGATCCAACCCTCTCCAAACAAAGCACGCGGCTGCTGGGAATGCTGTCACAAGGAGAGATGGGGATTGGAGGTGACAGGACTCCCAGCCCAGCAGAAAGCAGGAGGTTCGCCATCTCCATCCCCTGCTGCTTCCCAAGAATGGAGCCAGCAGGGAGAGCGGCAGCGGGCGCGCGGCGTTTGTTTTCTGCCCACCCTGGGAGCCGGGATCTTAAAACCACAGTCGCCTTTGTGTTAAAAGGGGCTGTGAAGTAAAACGGGAAGATCTGAGGTTGCCATCCGCAGAGATTTGTAAGAGAAAGGTATTCTGAGGCCAAGGGTGCTCGCCTTTGATTGTCAGCATTTCAGCATCCCCAGCCATTGTGTCGCATGGCGGTGCAGCGATATGTCAATTACTCACTCATTATTGAACAGCAGGATTCTGATTAGCTTATAAAACAAATTTGTGCTTCTCCTACCAGGATCTTGCAAGTGTACCCAGAAAAGCACAGTCTTTATACTTTTATAGGCAAGATGGTTGCGGCTCGGTGCGTCGCATCCACTCTGACTTACAGGGCAGATGCATTCGACCCAGCTAGAGGCCACCAGTCATTCGGTGGAGTTTGTTAATTAAAAAGTATGCTGTGGTTTTAGGAAAAAGTGGTGGTGGTGGGGTTTTTTTCCCCTCTTTCTGCCTTCCAGAGCACAGACAGAGGCCTGGCAGCAGCCCCCAGGCTGGTGCTGGGGCAGGGAGGTTCGTGCATGTCCAAGTGCAAGGCACAGCTCTGACGGTCCAACACTGTCCTTCATCCCAAAAGGAACACAGGAGAGGTTCACAGCTTAACCTTTGTATTTGTATTTAAGTTATTTTCTGAACAGTTAAAAAAAAACAAACCACACTGTTACCATGACCCTAGCTCAAGTGAACATTAGTACATTAACTACACATCACCGTAACATAATCACAAAATTCAAAGCACTCGTTACTTAAGAATCCAGATAACAAATATAGCAGAGTAACAAACCGAAAACTCTGGAGAAGCCACGTCCTTCCTCCCCCCCAGCCCTCAGTCTGAGCAGGGATGCAGCACAGGACAGATTTTGGGGTGACCACCCACTACAAAAGGGACCCATCCAGCAGTCAGTTACCACACATTAAGGGCTCGTACATCCATGCACATCAGCATCCCTCTGATTTTCAGTGTATCAGTTTAACGTCACTGAAGATTAACCAGTGGTGACAACTCCTGTGAGATATCCACGGGACAAGCAGGGAAGCCCAGCGGTCTTTGGGAACAAGCACAAAGTCACGGGGAGAAATTTCTGACAAGACAAAGGATGATTTATTCTGGCTGTGTATCAAGGCTCACCATGGGAGAGAAGCTCTGGGAACGTGCCAGGAGTTCGGCTACAGCTCATTAAAAAAAAAAGAGTGAGGGGGAAAGGAGGGGAACCAAATCTCAGCCTCAGCAGGCGACCACCTCTCCCAGCCCACTGCTGGGGATGGGCAGAAGGAATGTGCCCGTGGGACCTGCCACTTCTGTTCTGGTATTAAGTGAGGACAAAGACCGCGGCCCTCACGCCAATCAACCCAGTGGGATTTGCTGGCAGGATGAAGAAGGGATTTCATACAGAGACCTCTCCAGGGACAGCTGGGTCTCCTGCCGTTCCCCTTCCTTCTGGGAAGCTGTTATTGCTACTTGGGGAACAGCAGCAGGGCAAGGCTCAGCATGTCAGTGCATCATGCATGCCACTGGGAGACCTGGCAAAGTCCTCTTGGTCACTGCAGTTCAGACCTCTCACCCCGTGCCCCCAGTGCAGCTTAAACGTGGGCATGGCTGGACCCACCCATTCCTGCAGGCACTGCTTGATGACCTCCTGGCATTTCTGATGTCCTCATAGTAACCCTTCATCCTCGTGAGCCAAGTACACCAGCTAAGAACCCTGTTTTTGCAGCACTGTCCCCACTCGTGCAGAGCTCCATCTCACCCCCACGCTTCCCTTCTAGCCTTCAGCCACACGGTTCTCTCCTCCTCTCCTCCCCCGGCCTGCAGCAGGAAGGCTGGGGCTCCTCTCCTCGCATCTCTCCCCAAGGAGAGCTGGTAGTGCTGTGCCTCAGCACAAACACCGCCTGCATCAGCCACAAGTCAGACCTACAGGTGTGAAAGAAGGCGCTCTCAGTAACGAGTGCTGCCCCGTCAGAGCCAGGATGCTGAGGGACTGAGAGCCAAGCCTGGAGCCCTGCTCAAACTGAGGAAGATGTGCGTGACAGGGGCAGGGAACATACCTGGGGCAGGGAACGCGCATGGTAGTCTCCAGTTTTTTCAGTGTTGTTAAAAAAAAGGAAAGAAAAAAAAAAAAAGAAAACAAGGATCCTTTAGAGCTGGAGCAGGTGGCAGATAGGTGGAGCACGGTGGTCCAAGTCAGCTTCCAGTTCAGGAACAAGTGTAAAGCATTTCAACGTTTCTGACGATCAGGCTTCTCGACTTGTCACCTGCATCCTTCCCTTTCGGCAGCGGACGTGTCTGTCCCTGAAGGTTACTGGGCAGGAGACAGCCACACAAGTTCCCTCGCTGCAAACTCCTTTGTGCCATTTTCTATTTGCATATTTTAAAGCAAGCTGAATTCCTCTGAAGATGAGAAATATTTGCAGCACAACGGTGTCAAGGAGTCACAAGCAGGAGACGGTGTGGCCAGAGGGACTGTCCTGCTTTGGACGCCCCACACCTGCAGCACTCGGATCCCGCAGCGCACGGGGAAGGCTCTGCGAGCTCCCTGCTTGTGGGAGAAGTGACCATCTCTATGCAGCAGAGGTATTTCATTTCAAAGCCATGTGCAACACTTAAAGCCCACAGACACCTTCAGCCCCTTTTATCTCCTTTCTGTAGGCAGGTGCTAGCTCTTTTCATCATAAGCTCTGCAATTACTCCTACCTGGCTGAGGGATTACCCATTCAGTTCATGCTGAAACCTCTCCCACAGGTGCTCTTGCACTCTCACGCACAACCACACGTATGCTAAGGGGGGAAGTTTGAAAAAGCCACTCTTCTCTGACTCTGGGAGATGTACTTACCAGACCGCTCCTCCCTGTGTGCAAATGAACACCACCAAGTGCCAGCTTGTGGCAGCTTCAAGTTCAAGTTACATCAGTTCAGTTTCCTTCCTAGCTGTCAGAAAACGTGTACAACTCAGGGATGGGTTAAGAATCCTCAGCCTCCTGCTGTTCTGTATGAAGTACCCAGACACAGCCCTTACTTGAAGGGGAGACACCGTTCCTATGTTTGCCAAAAAATGGGAGTCCAGCTGTTGCTCCCAAACTGTACCTTAAAGAGCTCTGGACAGCGGAGTTTGAACTACAGTACCTCTTGAAATACCCAGCACTTAGAAGTTACAACACAGCAGCATGGAGCAGCAGGGCTATGACAACCACGGCAGTCTGCAGCAGTGCGCTCCCTGCGCCTGGCCAGCCAGCCTTCTGGTTCTCCCAGATTTCTGCAGACAGTAAAATAAAACACACCTCTGCAGGTGCTACTCACAAAGATGCAACTAAAATATTAGAAGTTCTGCAGCTGTCAGAGGCTGGAGTAACAGATCACTGTTTTCCACAGTAACCTAAATGTGAAAGGCAGAGGACAACCAGACAAGATGAGGAAAGTGACTACCAGATCTGAAGCCAAGCTTTATCCCCTACTGATATGTAACCATGCTGCAGACCTTGTAGTAACTGAACTAAGAGGAACTGTGTGCAAGTAGGATTAAGAATTAGACTCTGAACTTCAACTGAGAGAAGTCTGGGATGTAAACTTGGATGCTCTCTGCTCCCCTTCCAGTTTTGCTCTGGGACTGCAGTGCAGCTGATATGTGTAACTGTCTGAAATCCACAGCAACCTTCTTAGACTCAAAAGTAGCATCAAAATTAGTTGCAAATGAACTTATTATTATGATCCAGAACATTTAGGGCTCTGCAGAGGTAGGTCATACTGGCAGTGCTACCTGAGCAGAGTAGAGCTAACCTGTGAGATCCTTTTTACAGCAACAGCTCCAACAGAGAACAGGAGTGTCATCACACGCTCTGAGCTGCTCTTTTGAACTGAGGCAGTCTCTAGGCTCAATGAACATACAGGAGCTGGGTGCTCAGCACTGCTGCCCATGCATTTCAGGAACTACACCAGGTGCTCCTCAAGCACCTGCTTTCCATTCCTCCCTACATCCACTGCCATGTTGTCCATCCTGACTGTCACCAGAACAATTTAAGCCCTCTGGACTGCTCTTTGGGGACTCTTGGTCCAGCTCCTTGCAAAACTTCATTGGTAGAAAAAGCACATCCCAAGCAATTAGACACAACACAACTGCTTCCCTAGCAAAGTGAAACTGATGAGAATAGCTGAATAAAATGTCCCATCTGCCAAGTTCCAAGTTTAAAGGGTGTTAGAAAGCCTGTTTAAAACCCTTCCAGCCCAGAAACAAAGGACCCTGTTTCCTACTGCAGGACTGGAGCACCTCCCCACTGAAGCAGTGAGGGTTATTCAAGACGTGGGCATGGCCTGGAATGGCCAGGGACTGATATACACCCTTTCCTGATCCAGTTGCAGGCCTGCTGCAATTCCCTTCAGCTCAGTAAAAAGAGGTATGTCACATGAGATCTCTGTCTAGTTCAGAGACACGCAGAATTGTTTCACACGTCCCTCTCCTCCAGGGCTATTTTTATCTTCTAAACAACAGCAATTTGCAAAAGACTCAGCTAGGGAGCAAAGATCCAGCTCAGCTACCAGCAAAGGGACAAATCATCCCGTGTCCCTGAACCGCAATGCAGCATGCACACAGGTTAGGCAACAAAGGCGATCCTATCCCTCCCACCTCAGGCTTTCTAGCAAGGCCAGCCCCAGAAATGTTGCAGAACTGCTAACCTTACTGCCTGTGCTCACGGCCACCACTGCCCACCCGCCATCACCAGGGGACCGTGCCTTTGGATGGAAAGGCAGGGGCATATCCAGCTTGCCTCCTTGCCCCAGCCTCAAACCTCAGCCAGAACAGAGAATGGTTCCTAAGCCATCGGCAACACACTGCCTTCAGGGAGAAAAACGGGGGCCAGATTGTCCTTTGCACAAATGATTCCTTTGTTAGTGAAATACTGCCCTCAGACAACGCTGCACCGGGACAGGGGGAACTGGACATCAGCCCCAGTCCCTCATGCTTGGGACTTTGGCAGAGGAGAGCTTAACTTTTCACTGAATAGCATTCCTCAACCAAGCAGATGTTAAAGGAGACTACAATGCACATCCAGCTTTCAGAGGGTTAGCAGAGCAGGCAGGAGAGAACAGAGATGGATTTGGCTCATCACAGTCAAATTTCAAGGGTCCTCTCTCCAAAAGAATGGTCAGAACAGCCAAAAGCTGCAGTGGTGTGGGGAGTGAGGCCTGGCGTTTCTGTCGCTCTTCAGAGCTGAATGCTTTACAAAGGCCTAGCAATGGAGATGGATTTCAGCGGGAGAGCAGCAGCCTCCTCCCCACCCACCCTCCCACCCTGAGGTGACTCTCCCAGCAGGGTGAACTGTGGCTGTAAGTCTTCTGCTTAACAGCAAAGCAACACGTTCTGGCAACATCTTAAATATATTCACAGGACATCTGTGACTGGGTTTGGAGGGAAACCAAACAGGGTAAAGGCAAGGGGAGTGAATAGGAAAACGGGGATGAGGGAGGAAAGGGATGGATGGAGAGGTTTAAAAATGTTATTAGTTCACGAAAGATAAAA